CATATATATATACCGGAAATGAACAAGGGGGGAGGTAACTACAATTATTAATAAACGCATTTATATGTTGTATAAAAAGTCACAAAATTCTAAGAAATTCTGTCATTATATACATCATTGTTTTTCTAATTGAAATTAAAAAGCAGTCAAAATGACTTCCTTGGGCAATCTAGTGTTAAGCCCCCTAGAATCCAGTTACTACCCAGTTAGCTCCCTGTCTCTCTTCGTTGTTTTTCTTGGAGGACTTCAGTGCTGGACAAGTCTCCCACTCCACATCCCATTGTCTCATGGGAGGCAGTGCCTCTTCCTGCCACCCTTTCTACCAGGTACTCCTGAGTGTGGTCATTATTGGCATGTGACTACCTCTGAAATCTTAAATTCCAGTATACTCTGACCACAGTCCAACTTTTACTTTACCTACTTTGGGACCCTAAAGAGCTCTCTCGTTCTCTGATACCTCCATTTTTTCTATACGATGAGCATCACACCTTCTATGTCTTATCTGGATCCCATAGTTCAGGATTTTAACCATTCTCTGGCCCATGCCCTCAACTAACCTGCCACTTTGCCTGCGTGTCCCAACCCAGCAGCAGAAGTCGCAATTCACATACCAGAGCAGTTTGGTTCTACTTCCATGCGGGGTCCCCAGCCTCAGCTGTCCCTCCACCATTTTTTTTTTTTTTTTTTTTTTTTTTTAGAAATCCTTTCCCTCATCACTGGGGACTCTTGAGAGAAAGGAGGAAGATAGAAGAATACTAATGAAAGATAAAGGTATTTCTTTAGTGACGTAAGTAAGGGTCGGGAAGCAAGATGGAGAACACCGACTTACCGAGTGTTTAGAGTGTCAAGGGCCTGAAATTTAAGCCCCAGTGTTGACCAATGGCATGGCCAAACATTAACAATTAAATAGCTACATACACCTTAGTCATAGCATAGAGAAACCTTGCCAAATACACAGAGTTGTTATTTAAATTTAGATAGTACTTCACTTTAGTTCAAATTATTTGTCAATTAGTTAACTCATGATTTGTCAAATTTTGAAGGAAGATCTGATTTCCAGACATCCTCAAAGATCATGCTCCCTAACAATAGTGAACGGTTATTCTACTCTTACCACATGCATCATGCATACTGTTTGGCCTATGAAACTACATCATATTAACTAAATGAAAGACATAGCACCTTTGGCTGAGGAGGACATAGTGGAATTAATTAGTAACAAATGAACATCAAAATGTAACAGGTAAATAATACATCAGATGAGAAATAATAAATGATGAAATGTTGGGTCAGCATGATTTTATGATTATTGCAAAAAAGTAAAAAAATTTGTGATTATTAAAAAAGAAAGAAAGAAAGAAAGAAAGTCCTTTCCCTCTTCCCAACAACTCCTAGTTCCATTTCATGGGAGGAGTATTCCAAACTGGGCTACTCTCTCCAAACCCTTTATTTATGGAAAGGGTGATTGGGGGTTTGTGGGAGAAGTGGAACCACACCCATGTTTCTCCACTTCTTGAATCTCAGCAGAAGGAAGGATCCTAATCTAATATGCCTATTCTGTGCTATGGAAGCTGGCCCTCTGTCTCCTGAGATACTAATGTCCATCAGCTATTTTCCCTTCTAACTGTACCAGCTTGTAAATAAGCTCATCTCCTATCTGGAAAAAACTTTCTAACCCTATGTTCTCCACTAGTTGCTGCTGTTTTAAACCAGTGGCTTTGTCTTTTTGCAAAAATGATATATGACCATTGTAGAAATATTAGAAAAGAAAGATAAAAAATAAAGAAAACAAATAACATAATCTTTTTAAAAATATACTTTAGCCGAAACCAGTTTGGCTCAGTGGATGGAGTGTCGGCCTGCGGACTGAAGGGTCCCAGGTTCGATTCCGGTCAAGGGCATGTACCTGGGTCGCAGGCACATCCCCAGTGGGAGATGTGCAAGAGGCAGCTGATCGATGTTTCTCTCATCATCGATGTTTCTAACTCTCTGTCCCTCTCCCTTCCTCCCTATTGGAGCTCAAGCCTGTGGCATGTGCCTTGACCCAGAATCAAACCAGTGACCTCTTGGTGCATGGGTCAGTGCTCAACCACTGAGCAACACAGGCCGGGCTAACACTCTATATTTTTAAAAAGAAGAAGAAGAATAAAATTCTTCAGTGGCTGACAGGACTCTGAGAATAAAGCTCAAATCCTGCTCATGGCCTTCAAGGCCTGGATGACCTTGGCCCCTCCCACTTATCAACCCTATTTTTGCCTTTCTGTTCCTCCCACTTCTTGGCTCTACTTTCTTCTGTTCCTTGAATATACTAGGCTGTTGGTCTCCTGATCTTCACACCTGTTTTCCTGATTCTCTTTTGCCCTAGCCATCTCTTACTCATCCTTCAGGATTCATCTGTATGAAGCCTTCCCTGGTTCCTCCAGGTCAAATCAGGGAGGTGCTCTGCTATGTTCCTACAGCTTTTTGTACTTGCTCTCCCAGAGCACTTCTCAGGCTGTGTTGTAATTGCTCATGAACTTAGCTGGATCCTGTACTCTGACTTTCTCCCTCTCAACTCCAACATGTCTCCAATATTACAGAAAAAATTGAAGCAGATACATGGGACTCTCACTCTCCTTTCCAAGGCCTTAAGCCTGCCTGCATCTGCTTGCATCATGCTCTCCTTCCTACCTTTTAGGATTGAGGCTTGTCTTACCTCCTTGCACTGGGTCCCATGCTTCTCCTCTTTAAAGGGTTAACTTCTGTCTATTGTAATTGCAACTTTTTCCCTGGATCCTTCACATCTCTAGCTTATTTATTTCCATCTTAAGCAACCATCAGCCATATCTCTTCTTGGACCCTATGTCCCACCTAGCTAGTGCCTTATCTCTCTCTATTCTCTTCCTAGGCATAGGCACCCTTTTTCAAAGAGCTGTCTACACCTGCTTACCTGTTCAACTATAGATCTAATTTGGCTGCCACTCTGATCCCCAGCCTTCCAAAACAATTCTTTTTGGGATCACAGATGACTTGTTGTTACTGAGTATAATGAACATTTTCAGCCCAGTCCTTTTCCTGCTGTCGTATTTGTTCACTGTCTACTGACTTTGAGACTCCACTCTCTTCTGCCTCATCAGTTGCTTCCTCTCATTCTTTGCCAGCTTATCCTCTTTTGCCTGACTTTTATCCATTTGTTTTTTCAAACAGGTAATAAATACATTCACATGATTCATAATTTGAAAAGATGTCCCAACTTTCATCAGTACTAAAATGAACATTTTGATATTTCAGAAAACATTTTAATGTCTGTGTCTTAAAATTTTGGGGCATCTTAAAATTACAATTTGGCAGTATTATTTTGTGTGTGTAAATAAAATTAACACTCTCTCTTAAAATCCATGGTGTCTTGGGGTAGATAGTCTAAAGATACATAGTAACAATTCTTTTTCCCCACTTGCTCCACATGTATTCAGTTTCTCTGTCCCCCAGGGAGCCACATTTTTTCCCTTTGATATCCTAGAGATTCTTTGAGTATCTATTACCAAATACATAAGGGTGGGGCAAAAGTAGGTTTACAGTTATTCATATGGAAAATAACACAATGATTAATAAATAATAGTGCAAGAATAAACTAAGTGTTTCTCATACACACAACTCTAAACCTACTTTTGCCCCACCCTGTGTGTGTATATATATTTTCCCCTCAATATTTTATTTTGAAAAATTTCAAAGCTACAAAAAGGTTTAAAGAACAGTGCAATGAACACCTGTACTAAGGTATGTCACCTAGACTCATCAATTATTAATATTTTTCACATTTGCTCTACCTATTTATCTTTTTTTTTTTTTTGCAGAACCATTTGAAAGTAAGTTGCAGACACTGTACCTGTAAATACTTCAGCATGTATCTCCTAAGAACAAAGATATTCTCCTATGTAACCACAACACCTAAGAAATTTAACACTGAATAACAATATCTACTATGCAATCTATTTTCAGATTTCTCTACTTGTCCTAAACATGTCCTTTAGAGCTGTGATTTAAAATTCTAGGATTCACTACAGGATCATTCATTGCATTTGGCTGTGTGTCTCTTAAGTCTTCTTTTAATTTAGATGAGTCCCCCTACCAATTTTTTGTCTTTCATGACATTAACATTTGTCTTGGAGAATTTTCCACAATCTGGATTTTTTAGGGTATTTTTTCATACTATTTTCAAAGTAAACATTTTGGCAACAACACTACATAGATGATCTTGTGTCTTTCTGTGTGTCAGGAGATGCATGATGTCCTTTGGTCCCATTACCAGAAATGCTGAATTTGGTCACTTGGTCTGCCAGATCTTCTCATTATTGAACTACTTTTTCTCTGTTGTGATTTATAACTAATCTAGGATGTGGTACTCAAACTGTGTGATTCTCTTATTAACAGCCATTGATCATCCTTGCTTGTATCAGTTCTTATACAAGGGCTACAGAGGGTATTTTTTTAAAAAATTCTTTGATTCTTTCTATTATTAGAACTTTTCCTTTCCTCTCTCTCTTTCTTTTGTATGTCACCCTAGACTTGTACATTATTTTCATTCAATGTGTTATAACCCACCCATGACTACATTCATATTTTTCAACTTGCATGCTGAAGTTGAAGAAGTATTGAAAGGAACACTTTAAAAAGATATTTTTATTGATTACAGAGAGAGGAAGGGAGAGGTAGAGAGAGATAGAAACATCAATGATGAGAGAGAATCATTGATAAGCTGCCTCCTGTGCACCCCCTACTAGGGATTGAGCCCAAAACCCAGGCATGTGCCCTGACCAGGAATTAAACTGTCAGTTCCTGGTTCATAGGTCAATGCTTAGCCACTGACCCACACCAGTCAGACCAAATATATATAACTTTATTTATTTTTCTTAAATAATGTGCAGGTATGTATGTATGTATTTATTTATTTTTGTTCATCCTCACCTGGGGATATTTTTCCATTGATCTTTTAGAGAGAGTTGAAGAGAAAGGGAAAGACAGAGAGAAACATTGATGTGAGAGAAACACATTGATTGGTTGCCTCCTGTATGCGCCTGACCAGGACCCAGGCCGTGTAGGACCCTGCAACCAAGGTGTGTGCCCAGAATCAAACCTGAGACCCTTTGGTCCACAGGCCAACGCTGTATCCACTGAACCAAACCAGGTAGGGCCAAATACCTATTTTAAATGAGACTTCTGACTTTTTGTTTAATTGACCAACTTTTAGTCTCAATTACATTAGATAAAAGAGGACTCCTACTGAAATAATAATATTAAATGTGAATTGCTTTATTGCGCAGTTACCGTATTCCCAGGTGAAAGGCCGCAGAAGGGGCACTTTTTACTGTATATAGCTTCACCCAGATTCACCAGTTGTGAACATGTGCTACATTTGCTTTGATTCTGTCTATATCTATCTCTTTATCATTTCTTCTTTTATGAACTATTTGAAGTGACATCATGATACTTTTTCCCTAAACACTTGAACACATCTTTCCTAAGAACAGGGCATGTCCTACAGCCTTGATACTATTATCCCACTCTAGAAATGTAACATAGGCACAATATTATCTAGTTTAGAGTCTATGTTCAAGTTTCCTTTGTTACTCCAGTGATTTTTTTCCCCTCAGTGATGTTCTTTATAGTATTTCCCTTAATCAAGGTTCACACAATGGTTTCCATTGCCATGTATTTTTAGTCTCCATTAGTTTAGAAAATCCCTTATCTCTTAAAAATTATCTTTGTCTTTTTTTTATTTTTCAGATGTTGGCTTTTTTTTAACAGTCTTGGTCATTGTAGGTTTTAGAATGCTTCACAACTTGGGTTTGTCTGACTGTTCCTCATGATTAGATTCAGGTTAAACATTGTGGGGCCTGAATACTATACAGGTGATGCTGTGCAGTCTCCCTGCCTCACATTGGGAGACCATAATGTCCATTTGTGTCATTATTGGTGAGGTTTAGTTTGATCATCTTGTTACGGTGGCTTCTCTAGCTTTCTTCACAGGATAAGTGCCTGTTTCCTTTTGTAATTCAGTCATCTTTGGCCTAGTACTTTGAGACTCTGTGACTCTCTGTGAACAGTCTTTCACCCAGAGAAAGGCTTAGCATTTATTGATGATCCTTGCCTGAATCAGCTATTTCCTTAGTGATTGCAAAATTGGGAGAGTCTTTTAATTCTTTTACATTCATAGCTAGCATTCTTCTGCAAAGGAGAGCTTTCTTTTTTTCTTTTCCCTCTCTTTTAAAAATAAGAGTGTCACTTTGGACTCACAAATTATTTTTAAAAAATCAGTGCATTATATTATTTTATTATTACTTTTGATACTCTTAATGGTCCCAAATTTGGCTGGTGGTACCCCTTCAGACTGGTGTCCTTTTTACATACCTCCATTCATTGAATAACTCATTTCTGGCACTACAAGATGTTCTAGGCCAGTGGTCGGCAAACTGCGGCTCGTGAGCCACATGCGGCTCTTTGGCCCCTTGAGTGTGGCTCTTCCACAAAATACCGA